ACCTTCCTGCATTCATCAATCAGTCAACATATATTTATTAGTTTTTATCCAGGGATGATAGAAAAATAGACACAGTATATCACATACAATGTGTTAAGACATAGAACCATCCCTGTCCTTCTACCCTTTTCCATATCCCTAGGAGCAGAAAGCCCTATTCTCCATTACAAGTAGGAGCCTGATTAGAGTTCTCCAACAAGAGGTAACTTCATGAAATTTAGAAGGTACAAGAGAAGGAGAAGCCATTGTTCTTCACAGCAGGTACTGAAAGGCATGTAGAAGACAACAGAGGTAACCTGGAGTTTTCCAACAGTCTTTAGTTATCCTTTGAAGACTTGCCAATTTCATTGCTCTTGATAATTGGAATATTATTAGTTGTAGTATGAGCACTGTACTTCAAAGTTTCCCAGAATGTGCTTCAAGACCTTTGCTTCCCAGGATTATTATTCCTATATTATACCTTCCCTTATTCTACACACTTAGAGTAGCTTCTGTTTTCATGACTAGCCTCTAAGTGATAATCACATATTAGGGAAAGAAGGGAAGTAGCCCTGAGATCACAATAATACTGTTGCATGAGGTGTTAAGATTGAAGGACAATTTTTACCTCATTGCTACCATCACCACAGCCTCTTCATTTTCCCCCTTAACCAGGTGTGATGAAAAACAGAAGTTATGCTTGATAGCTTATCCCCCAACTTGTCATTTCCTACTAGAAAAAGGCATCAAAGTCCCCTTTCTCTTTGAAATTAAACTTATGGATTTCATAAAATCCATTTATGAAAGTACAATAAATAACTTTCAATATCTTATAGATTTTCTTGGGCCAATCAGATCTTGTGAGGTGGGAAAGACCATATATGAAACATTAATAGAAAGAGCACAGCCTTCAGAGATGACATGCTGCATGAGAATGAATCCCAGCTCCACCCATCACCAGGGTTACTTTTTTCTCTCTGAGTCCAACTGCTCATTTATGAAGATAGTAAACTCATTTCTATAGGATCTTTGTGCATATTATTAATAATGGTAGTGACAATAAAGATAACACTTCCCTCAGGCTATTGTAATTATAGTTATTAGTTCAGTAGAACATTATAGGAACATGATATTTTTTCCCTAGTATATATGGGAGATTAAAATACCCAAATTGCTGTCAACTTTTAAAAAGAAAATCAAGAGGGAGGGGATATTGCCAAACCAACTCTCAAGACATTTCAGACATCTACAAAGCCATCACTATGAGAACTGTGTGATCTTAGTACCAGAATAGGTAAATAGATTAATGCAACAAAACCCAGAGTCTATACATTGGCTCAACTCTAAATGGAAATTGGTATGCATATATATGCCACTGTAATTCAGTGGGGGGAAAGATGTATCATGATGGAAAATTGATTTCATACATGGTGCTATAGTTTGGATGTTAAATAGCCCTAAAAAGCTCATATGTTTATGTTTGGTCCCCAGTGCGACAGTGTTCAGAGGTGGGGACTCTGGGAGGTGATTGGATTATTTGGGCTCTGACTCTATGAGTGGATTAACCCACTTATAGATTTATAGATTAATGGGCTTTGGCGGAGAGACTTTCTTTCAAAGAGTTCTTTCTCTTTGCTGGCTGGCTAAATGAGGTGAGCAGCTTTACTCAGCCACATGCTCCCTGCACAGGCCTAAAGTGATAGGATCAAGCAAATGAACTGAAACCTCTGAAACTGTAAGCTAAAGTATAGCTTTACTCCTTTAAAATTGGTTTCTCTCAGGTATTTTGTACAAAGTTCATTAGCCCATATGGAAAGAAAAAGAGACCCCTGGCTCATTTCACAAATGACAGTGAACCCCAGATAGATTGAAGACTAAATATGAAATCAGCAATGGTATGGGAGAAGATATTTGCAATGTCTAAAAGCTGTAGATTTATAGTGAAAATATAAAGTATGAGGAGATCCTACAAATCAGCACAAAGGGGATAAGAAACCCAATTTTAAAATGGTTATAAACAGGCTGAGCATGGTGGCTCACACCTTTAATCCCAGCTATGCAGGGGGTGTAGGTAGGAGGATTGCAGATCTCCAGTAAAAAAGCAAGACCCTATCTGAAAAATAACCTAAAACAAAAAGGGATGGAGATGTGGCCCAAGTGATAGACCACTTGCCTACCAAGCACAAGGACCTGAGCTCAAACCCCAGTACTGCCAGAAAGTACAAATTTGAAAAAGTAAAAATGGGCATAGGTGTAAAGAGGAAATATATACAAAAGAAAAACTTGACTGCTCAGCAAGTATATAACCAAATGTTCAAACTCACAGAGAGAAGAAAATTAGCAGATGATGTGATATATAACTTTATAGCCAAAAAGAATTAGAAAGGTAGATGATCTGAAATAGAGATGATAAGGGATTGGATTGTTCTCGTGTGATTGCTGATGATGTTAAAGGATTCGGCTGTCAACTGAGCATCCCAGAAGTACTTAGCGAAATTAGACATGGGTTCATGTTCATGAATGGGCAAACTCCGGCCCACTCACTTCTGAGCTACTCAGAAGGCTTCATCTTCCTATTTAGTTGGCAGCTTCCCTTAGGATTCTTCCCTAGGTTTGTGTAAGTGTGCAGTAGGTCCTTGCATTATGTACCACTCTTTTACTGCTGAGCCACCTCTAGAGCTGTGGCCTAACTTCTACTGAGCCAGCTTCCCTGCGAGGACACTGGACGGATACAAAGAAATAGCAGCTCATTCTTGTTACCACTCTGTCCCTCCATTTCCTATAAAACTAACAGATGAAGCAGTGGCAGCATGCTTAAATCCCTTTTCTAGAGGGTTAGGTCAATTCCTGAAGAAAATTAAAATGCTAGAAGGACCACAATGAAATAGAATTAAAATTTTCTTCTAATGAGAAGATATTTTAAAAATTGTTTCAACTTGTACAGGGTAGGTTCTTTAGTTTGGTCTGGCACTTAAATTTGCTCTTAAGTCTTACCCACGTCCCTATAAATCTCTGCAGCTGTGTCTCCCTTCTCTTGAAGTATCCTCAGCTCTGAATCCTTTTCACTCCCTTCCCCCAAAGAACTCTGGTTGCACAATCAGAGATCCAGGAGCAAATAAGAGAGGTAGAAAGAGACCGAGAGAGCAACTCAGTTTGATCCCATTTTATGGGTACTGTCAGTTGTTGGCTCTTTGATTCATTATCTAGTGACTCTCTTGAAGGCAACTTTTTTTTTCCTTCAGCATCTATAGAGCTAAGTTCTAATTTGGATGATTATTTCTTCTAATCAACAAGGTTTTGATACCCCAAAATATTATGAGTCCCTGCTCTTGTCTGTAGGGGTATTTATTCCTCCATGATTTTTCCAGTATGTGGCATTGGGTGGCATTACCAAACTCGAGGCCAGTGTTTAAAGGTTGCTCTCTTTGTGTCTATTTCAGATTCTTCCCATGATAGGAGGGCAGTTGGTGAGTTGGGGGCAAGTGTGGCCTTCTGATTTTTCCATCACAAAATGAATCAAGAGAAGTAGGGAACAGGAGGTTGGAAAATATAGCATGATTCATATTAAAGAATCCTGGAAATTTCTGTGGGAGTTCGAGATAGAAAAAGCACGGAGGTACTAACTTGAAATAGGGGCAGTACCAGTGGGAAAAATGGGAGTGAGAAGGCTGCCCTGAGGGGAAGGTGAGAAATAAGTCTTAGGTGAAATCAACAGTCCAGATGGCCACTCAAATATTGCAGCAGAGGAAAAGAGAGGAAGTAAAGTTGTTACCAGGAATAGTAACTTCCAGAGAAAAAGGTTGTACTGGGTGGGGCCAGCAGACTGTGGCAGGAAATAATGTTCGGTGTTGATTTGGTACAGGTGAGACAGCCAGAATGATGGCCCCAGAAATCCCAAGGCATGATAAAAAAGTAATAAAATTTGAAAAATAGAGCTCTCCCATAAAGTAGAAAATAAGAATTTATGGGAGGTTTGTATGGTTTATGTGGGAGAACGATTGGGATTGAGCTGAGTAATTGGAAGTTATCAGAAGCATATAAATGTGTGAGGCCAGAGGAAAGGGTGAGGTCAATCCCACTAGAGTGGCCAGGTTTAGTAAAACAACAACAAACAGAAACAAAGAAATAAGACACAGTTAATTTCAATTTGAAATAAACAATGAACAATTTTTAGTATATTCCATGTAATGTTTAAGATATCCTTGTTCTAAAATTTTATTGTTTGTCTGAAACTCAGTTTAACTGGACACCACAAATTTCGCCTGTCAACCAGAAAAGGGGCTGCAAACAGAAATGCCTGCAGGGACTGGGAAGGCCATGTCCCAGGAGAGATCCTGGGGGAAACACAGTGGAGGGGGTGGAGGCTGAGCACCTGGAACACATGTGTCTCATCCCTGGGGGCAGGTGACTTGTTTGCAGAGATGACTTTGAAGGGGTCCAATATTCTAATGTTTTAATGTGCACAATCTCAATTTTCAAAAAGGGACCAACCAATGAAAGAAACATATTGTGTAGTATAAACAAAGCAGTTCTGTGGGTTCCACAAGGCACCTGAGCACCTGGTTTGCAACCTCTGGCCTAATCTCTAAAGTAGGTGGGTAGGCTTTTAGCCTGTAATTGCAGCGATTTGCAACATCAGGGTAGGTACTGTTTGGGTGTGGGAAAGGGATGACTGTAGGGTGCTAATTTCCTGATGCAGAAGGTAAGATGTGGACGTGGTTTCTCTAACTATGACTCCACAGTCTCCCCTTAGGGAGGAGGACACACCTGAGGCCACCCTCCCTGTAGCTGGACAGCAGCTAGTGCCCCCAGGGCCGCACCCAATGCTGCCCTGCTCTGCATGACTGCAGGAAGGGCAGCCCAGCTCAGCAGCCTTTGCAGGTAGCACAGCAAGAGCCATTGGAGGTTTGAAATCTTTCATCAGAAATTTGTGGGTGGAAACTTCCAGGGGTGTGCTCTGAGCATCTTGAGGCTTCTCAGCTTCAGATGCAAAGTGGGTGGGTGTCTCTCTGAGAGCAAAAAGAGCCGTGTTTCCCTTGGCTATGGAAACTCTATAAAGAGAGAGCTGGCTTCCCTTCTCTCAAGCAGTCAGCAACAAGAGTCTCATTCTTGACACTTCAGCCTCCACAGGATTGAGAGAAGAAAACACTTTACTGGGGCTGACCCCACTCACTGGCTGCCATGCAGCAGCCCTTGAATTACCCCTACCCCCAAATCTATTGGGTGGACAGCAGTGCCAGCTCTCCCTGGGCTCCTCCAGGGTCAGTGTTCCCTTGTCCATCCTCTGTGCCTGGAATGACTGGTCAAAGGAGGCCTCCACCACCACCACCACCACCACCACCACCACCACCTCCACCACTGCCTCCATTGCCCCCACTGCCAGCACCACCTCTGAAGAAGAGGAGGGACCACAGCACAGGCTTATGGCTTCTGGTGATGTTTTTCATGGTTCTGGTGACCCTGGTTGGATTGGGACTGGGAATGTATCAACTCTTCCACCTACAGAAGGAGCTGGCAGAACTCCGTGAGGTAAGTCTGGCATGTGGACTGCTGTGCCCTGGACTCACTGGGTGCAGGATGCCTCTTCTGCAGTGGGAAGTTGAGGCTACTATGGTTCATAGGACCACTGCCTGGCTTGCAGAGATTTTTTCAAGCCTTTTTTTTTTTAAATCTTTGTGTGAAGGGAATGTTTTCTATCTTGTAAAGAATCAGAGGCAAACAATTCCTCCTTTCTCAATTGTCAAGTCAGTGTATTAAGCTACTTACTACCTAGTACCTAGTGATTCAAAGAATGAAAAGAAGTTCGAGTTGCTTAGGAAGTGAGCTAAAACTCACTTCCCAGTGGCCCAGCTAAAACTCCTTGAAAAGTCTTGAAAATATTGGGACTTTTCCAAATCACAAAAACAAGGGAGAGTGCACAATTGCTTGGCTAAAGTCCAAGTTAGGCAAGTATTTGAGGTGTTTGAACTCTTTTTTCCAGGGGTTGGTATATTTGAAATTTCTGTTTCTTTTGCTTAAATAACCTCAAATTTATTATACAACTTTTTCTCTTTTGCTAGTCCACCAACCAAAGGCGTACAGTATCATCTTTGGAGAAGCAAATAGGTGAGTACTTGTATGCATGTACTTTGAGTTCCCAAAGACAATTAATTCTCAGAACTGAACAAAATTGGTAGAACATTTTGAATTCTGTCCCATTCTTGAGCTTATAAGCCTATGAGAGAAATCCTAGCTAATTCCAAATCTCTGGTCAATATGGTTTCTTGAACTGCTGTAAAATAGTAAGTGAATTTAATTGCTCCACATCAGTGTAGCTAAGCACTGCATTTAATTCTAAAGAATTTCCACTGGACTTTGGAAAGAGGCACACATACAATCTTAGACCTTTGCTGCATGGCTCCAGATAGTAGGCTCCAGCCTTGGCCCTTCCTCAGACACCCTGGTTCCAGTACATATGGTAGTGGCTGTAACTCCTAGGAAGAGAAGGGAAGGTGGGAGTAGACACAAATTTTTCTGAGAAATTGTTCTTTAAAAAACTCTCTAAAAGTGATTACTCAACAGTTAAGCTTTATTCAAAAATATGTTATAGAATATAAGTAAGCTTTCAAAAAGTAGATAGTCAATTGCCCACATTAGTATACAGAGAGGTTTGGGAGAGACCTTCACTATTGTTATTCAAATGACTGCTCAGCTGTACCCACAGAGGACTCAGACTACTTTTGATGATCAAGGAAATCCTCTATATGAGATCCAGGCCAGGAAAAAAGATGAAAATGCTGAAAACTGATCTCATGAAATTTCAGGGCATAGTTTTGAAAGCTGTGAACAGATAGATTTTAGGGTATGCATCATTATAGAAATCTGTGTCTTATACTCAGATTCATTGAACTTTTAGGTTTGGTTTGGGTTGGAAGGTTGCTTAGAGCATATCTTGTCCAGCTATCTCATTTTTTCAGAAGAGAAACAAAACACAAGACAAAATGAGGTATTCCCAAGACCACTGGTGTGGAACTGAGGCTAGAGGAGCAGAGTCTCCTGATGCCTCGCCAACTATAGAGCTTCCCAGCACATGGACTGGTGCCTCATGAAACAGAGAAACTCCTGCTTCTCTAAAATGGCCATAGGAAGAGAAATAGATGCAAAGCAAGATACCTCTGCAAAGACTATAGGCAGAGCTTATCCTTAGAAACCTGGAGAACAACAGAAGGCAACAGGCAACACTGACCATGTATTAAGTGGAGTTGCCTTCCAGACTCAGAGCATGCCTACTGCAGGTGACATGAGTCAGCTTCTACCTGAGAATGGAAGCTCTTGTAGGAGTTGTCATTGGGGTGCTTACATCCCTAGCTCTGGGTCCAAGTCTCTTGGACCAGATGTATACAGGGACAGTGGAAATATTTGTTAGAAAAATGAAACCTTTGGTGGATTTCTAAAGTACAATCATTTTGAAAATCAGTGGAATCTGGCTTGTGGAACAAGTACCTAATTACTCATCTTTCACCCACTTTATGAAGTCATTTTAGTGATTCAAAGTCAAATGAACAGATGAGTCAGGTCCACCTATCCCAGTAAACAATTATCTTCTCTTCATCAACCCAGATGGACCAGAAATGGGTGAATTATCACATGAAATCAAACTAGTAACTTTACTCTTAAGGAATGCAAATTTATAGAAAGAGGATACTTATTTTTACCCATCAGATTCACAAAGATAAAGCAAGAGGATTGCCAAAGATTAAATAATAGTTAGTTTAAATATTCATTAGTTTCAGTCAGTATTCATGGAAATTGCTGTAACTTTTCTGAAGAACAGCTTGAAAATAGTTGTCAAAGACTTGAAATGGCTTGTTTATCTTGTAATCCCATCCCTAAAATTTGTCCTCAGAAAATAATCAGGAATATGACCAAAGACATAGCTTTTTCTAATAGACAATTCCAAAGAAGTATAAATGTCTCAGAATAAGAGATTAGTTAAATACATTGTGGTGCAGTCAGACAAGAAAATAAGATGCATCAACCAAAAAACATACATCAGAAGGACATTTAAGGCTACAATGATTATGCATTATATATCATTAGATATAGTGCCTTCCTATGAAACTTGACTGTCTTAAATTCATGAGCTAAGTAGAAGTTTTCTACCTTTGCTGAAATATTTGAAGTTAGAGAAATAGTGTTTATTTTGAAAAATATAGTCAATTTTAACTCCTTCAATTTAATCTGGCATTTACTGACAACATGCCCTGTGTTAGAAATGTTCCTAAATATTTTGGTGAATTCAACATGTAGAAAAGAGCTTGCCATCTATTTGGGAGAAGGAAGAATGAGACAATGCTTACAGTTACCACAGAAAGGGGAAATCAAGACTGAAAAGAGAGGTGAAGACAGAGGTTTCAAAGGATGAAAGATCATAGTTGACCAATAGGTGTGGATGGATTTCCAAAGAAAAGAGAAATTTGAGATGGTCCTTAGAGGACTGATTAGATTTGATACGTGATCTTTTTGGGAGGGCATTCTAGGCAGAAGGTACAGCATGAGCAAAGGCCTAGGCACAGAGGAGAATGGCATATTCAGGCCCCAGAACTCCTATTGTATGCCAGTGTCCAGTGTGAGTGAGGAAACAAATTGAGGTCATGTGGTGGGCTAAACTTGTTCACAGCTGCATGTTCAGTGAGGAGCCACTGAAGGCGTTTGAGGCCTCAGTGATATGAGGTGATTGTTTGAAGCCTAAGGATAATTAATTTAGGAGCAGATTATAGGATGCTATTAGGGAAAGACATGGTGGCTGGGAGACAAATTCAATCTTCTTCAGACTCTATCCTGCAGAGTCCTTGGGACAGAAGAGCCAAAGTGGACTGAGCCTTGGATTTACAGTCAGGAGGTCCTGTATCTGATATTAGTAACCCAACTTCTAAGCTCATTTTGCCAACTATAAGGTGGGACAAGAATCCCTACCGACAAAGGCTATGGCAAGTTCTAAGAGTAGTTTGTATGATCTCTTTACGCATCAATGTGTATATTAGTTATGTTTTACTGGAACATTATAGTTTATGCATATATCTTACCTTAATTTAACTTTTTAAAAAAATTTCTTGGTTTCTGAAATAAAAACTGCTGTGAATCTTACAATTTGGACTTGCTCAATGAGTGTAACTAGGATGTTGCTGCTTATGCTTTAAAAATCTTTAATGGTGGAAATGGCATCTCATTTTACATATGTCTTTAATCTCTCTGTGATATAGGACACCCCAGTCCACCCTCTGAAATAAAGGAGCTGAGGAAAGTGGCCCATTTAACAGGTCTGTGTCTGGAAGGTACAGGTGGGGACTGGGAAAGCCTTTGGCAAAAAGCAGAATGGCTGCTTGGTTTCCATTACTGGCTCTGGGGGAGGGTTTACATTCTGACAACAGTATTAAGTACCCAAGAGCACTCATCTTTCCAGTTAGGTCAATCTCATGCCTCACTCTGGGAAAGTCCTAAATTGAAAGTAGGGAGCTATATATGACATGATCCCTGACTACAAAGAGCTCATTTTTTAAAGTCATTCCAAGAATTGTGACACAGATCCAGGAGGAGAGCTGAGAAAGTGACTGATGAGTGATAAGAGACACTAAGTCTTGTGGTTTTCAGCCTGTGATTATAAAGTGAAGTGAAATGGTTTGCTATGGGTGCTCCCATTATAAACCATAAATACCTGAAAAGTAGATAAACCTTACAAGAAGTGGTGTGCTCCTGCTCCTGTAATTCTGTAGGTAGATACTATAGAAAAATTCAATTGGGTCCACAGACACTCATTGAGCACCTGGTGCATGGGAAGCTTTAGGAGCATGGTCATGAATAACATGTGGTTCCTACCTCTATGAAGGTTAAATCTAATAGGAAAAGAAAGGCTCATAGTGATCACTTCAGTACTTGGAGAGAGTTCCTTCATTAAGGAACGCTGTGGAGGTATAAAGGAATGGGGATTTTTACCCAAATTGAGGGGCTTAGGAGTCCTTTTTCTAAGTGAGAAGATGGACAAGATGATCCTTAAGATCCATTCTAAATTTAAAGTTTCTTGGATTTGGCTTTTCCCTTTATGGAGGAACCTCAAAGCCTAGCAGTTTAGACATTAGTCATGCAGATGATAGTCCAGAGAGGTGAATTTATCTTAATAGTTTTCACTGCAATTGGTCGCATGTATATATAAGTTGTATACTGGAAGTATGTATATATTGGATGACCAAATTGAGGCAGGAAATTTGACAAAGATGTTGAAGGAAATCAATGATAGATCAAGTTCTGAGTCCTCAGCCAGTTCTGTCCCAGCTATGTTATTCTGGATAAAACATTTGTTAAAGGCAGGGCCCATAGTTTTTCTTTGGAAGCTTAGCTTGTTGGATGTGTGAACATTCCTGGATGAAAGCTCCTCTGATTTATTTCAGGCAAACCCAACTCCAGGTCCATCCCCCTGGAATGGGAAGACACCTATGGAAATGCCCTGATTTCTGGAGTGAAGTATAAGCAGGGCAGCCTTGTAATTAATGACACTGGGCTATACTTTGTGTATTCCAAAGTATATTTCCGGGGTCAAGCCTGCAACAACCAGCCCCTGAATCACAAGGTCTTCAAGAGGAACTCTAATTATCCCCAGGATCTGGTGCTGATGGAGGGGAAGATGATGAACTATTGCACTACTGGCCAGATGTGGGCCCGCAGCAGCTACCTGGGGGCAGTGTTCAGTCTCACCAGTGCTGACCATTTGTATGTCAATGTCTCTGAGCTCTCTCTGGTCAATTTTGAGGAATCTAAGACATTTTTTGGCTTATATAAGCTCTAAGTAAAGCACTTTAGGGTTCTCTCCTTTATGGTTCCTTGTTATAGACACTGAGAATAGTGTCTTGAATGAAGGTCTTCTTAAGCCTGATTGAAGTCGAGGGAGAAGATATGAACCACAAAGACCTGAGATCACAGGGTCTAGCAGGTATGCAGTTCTTCATCTCATCTAAGTTCCATAAGCTAGACAGGAGGAAAGGAATATGACTGAAAAACATAAAGCTCTGGATAGCCATGTGAATATTCAGAGACATAGAGAAGCAGCTACCAGGTATCCTAGACTCATCTCAGTGCCCAAGGGCATTTTAACACATTGAAAAGGACACTTTCGACTCACCTCCCAGGGTGGGTCTACTTGCTACCTCAGAAAAGGCTCTCTCTCAGATTCATAGTTGTAACATGAATGTATAAGGAATGGAAAAGGAAGACTAGGCTTGCATTATAAGCTAAATAGACTTAAAGAGATCAATGCCCTGTTGGCAGCATCTTTACTTCTAAATGTATATCCTAGGCCACCAGGTGATACTAAAAAAAAAAGCAAGAGGAATCTTTTGCGGACTCAATTCATTTTCTACACAATATGTGTTTTTCCAGTGCAATTGTGTGTGTGCACATGTGTGTGTGTGTGTGTGTGTGTGTGTGTGTGTGTGAGAGAGAGAGAGAGAGAGAGAGAGAGAGAGAGAGAGAGAGAGAGAGAATGTGGAGATTGTGAAGTACATATTAGAAACATAAGGATTACAGTTGGTGGTAGATTTTGAATCTTCTTGGCAACATCTCTAATAGTCCTCGAAAAATCTTTGTCAACAGCTGATGCTGTTTAATAAAATCAATATTTATACAAATGTGCATTTTTTAAATGAAGACACAAAATAAAAACTCTATTTTAGAATGCAGAAAAGTATTCTGAATGTAATCTTTGGAAATCACTAAGGTTTGGATTTTTGCTTATTATTTATCCTATCCATGGTTTCTTTATTCATAATGACTTCAGACCACTTTAGGGAGAGTTTATTAAGGTGCGAAGAACTGTGCAGCAAATCCTTCTATCTTTTCCATCTCTCTCTTTCCCTAATGTTTTTCCTGTACACTTTTTATTAACCAGAGCTTTCATTATCAATATTATTGCCAGTGTTAAGCTTACTCAACTTTCCATACATTCACTGACAGCTTGTTTTTCCATGGCAGAGCTGTGGCTTAATGGAAAGGGCACAGGCTGTGGACTAAAGAACCTGGACTTGAATCTTTGTTCTTCACTGACTAACTTTGCAGTCTCTAGGAAGATCACTTGAACTTTCTTTGGCAAAAAGGAATTGTTATGTACATAAAGTGCCTGACACACAGTAGAGTATCAAGTTATGGTCACTGCTGTTACTGTTCAGAGACCTGCATTGTGTGGAAGAAGCCTCTTGTCTGTGGAATCCATCCAAACACCTGCTTCCTTATATTCTCACATGTGTCACTCATAATGACCTTTTCCTATTTCTTAAACTTCTCATAATTGTGACCTCTCCCTGGACTTTGTTATCATTAGAAATTGCAATACGTTCATGCACCCCTATCATAAAATGACAACCCAGCTTGTCTGTATTTCCAGCTAACACAATAAAATTCTCATCTTTTCCCTCCTGTTTTGGTGAACCATCCAATATACCTACTCCAAGGGCCATAAGAAGTATTCTTGTGGTCAATGACTCCCTCTAGATAATAGAACCAGAGCAAAGAGAAAGCGGAAATGGATGGGCAGCATCCCAAGATGAGCTGATGTCATCGTCATCGTCTAAAAGTGAACCTCCAGCATAGTCATCTCTCCAACTCTGAGCTGTACTAGGTGCCTGTGGGATTTTCCAAAGATAAGGTTACAACTTACCATGCTTTTAGTGCTTGTTCTAGGGAAGAGATATTAAAAATGACTTTAGAAATATTATTTTTAACTTAGGACAAAAAAGATATCAAAACCCAAAACATTTTAATATGTTCACTGAAAATGGGATCTTCCATTGTTCCATTATGAAAGGCTAAACCCAAAGTAGAACCTAGACCCATAGAAAAAGGTTGTTTCTAGTTCAGTAGTTTGAGGTTTTCTTTCTTTTTTCTTTTCAAATGACTGAAAACACACAACACCCATCTCTTTTCTTAGACCCTCAGAGCGGTGACTTTGTATTCTCTGAAGTAGGTTTTGACTTACCACAGCTTAACAGGAAAGAGCTCTATTGTGGGCATCCTTTTGAGAGCAACTAATTTTAGACAAGAGCTCAACAAAAGAGAAATTGAAGGGAGAAGCCTGGCCCATAAGAGCCAGAGGATAAGCTTTGGACGAAAACAAAAAAAGAAAGAAGAAATTTTTTCTATACTAACATCACATATTACCCAGATCCTTTTAAAAATATAATTTAACACATGGCCTCCACACTTCTTATATAAGAATGGGGTCATATCTAGAACTTATCCCACTAAGGAAAGATTATACTAGATTCCACATCTCAGAAAAAAACATGCAATATTTTTTTCTGAGTCTGGCTTACTTAGTATGATGATCTCTAGTTCCATCCATTTTTTTGCAAACTACATAACTTCATTCTTTTTTATGTCTGAATGATATTCCATTGTGTATATGTACCACATTTTCTTTATCCATTCATCTGTTCATGAGCACCTAGGCTGATTCTAAAGCTTGGCTATTGTGACTAGTACTGCAGTAAACATGGGTCTGGAGGTATCTGTATTGTATGCTGACTTATGTTCCTTCACATATATGCCTGGGAATGGTATAGCAGTTTCATACATTTCATACATTCTCTCTTCTCTAGAGAGTTACTACTATCCTTTCCTCTCTCTTTCTTTGTATTTCTCTCATTCCATCTGAATTGACCCCCTTTACTCTTCTGCCACCAATGGCACTGAGGTTGGAATGAGGTAAAAGGGAAGAGATCGAGCTTTGAGTTAGAAGACCTAAATTTGAGTCCAACCTCTGCTAATCAGTTAGTTGTATGCGTGGCCTTAAGTAAATCACATAGACATCATGAAATTCAGTTGTTTCTTCTGTAAAATGAGGAAACCAATTTCTGTTCTTATAACTTATAGAAATATTGTTAATGACACATGGGATGAATGCATGATGATGATTTGGAAAGCCATTTCTGAAGGGAGGTCAGTGGAACATTCCTCAGCAACTTTCCTGATAGTCACTGTTTAAAGAAACCCTCTATATCCTTGCCACCATGAAGGGAAAGGCTGTGCTCCAGCACACCCTTCTACCACGATTGTCTACTTACCTCAGACCCAGAAACATGGAGTCAGATGACCATGGGCTGACATCTCTGAAACCACTGAAAGGGTAAGAAAGCTATAGGAGAAAAGTCTGAAGTTGACAGAGGTTGGTTCATAAGGTTTAAGTACAGAAGCCATCTCCATTACACAGAAGTGCAAGGTGAAGCAGCACAGCTGATGTAGAAACTGCACTACATCATCCAGAAGATAGGATAACTGATGTTTCAATGTAGATGAAACAGCCTTATATTAGAAGAAGATGCCATCTAGGACTTTTGTGGCTAGAGAGGAGAAATCAATGCTGGCTTCAAAGAATGAACTGTCTTGATATGGGCTATTATAGCTGGTAACTTTAAGTTGAACCCAACTCATTAACCATTCTGAAAATCCTGGTGTTTTAAGAATTATACTAAGTTGGTCAACCATGGTGATACTTGCCTGTAATAATCTCAGCTATCAGGAGGCTGATCTCAAATTCAAGGCCAACCTGAGCTATATAGCAAGATGCTGACTCAAAAAAAATCTACTTTGGCTGTACTCTATAAGTGGAACAACAAAACCTGGATGATAGCACATCTTTTTACAACATGGTTTACTGAAGATTTTATGCCCAGTGTTAAAACCTACTCTTGGAAGAAAAGATTCCTTTCAAAATATTTTTCCTCATTGGCAATGTACCCAGTCATCCAAGAACTCTGATGGAGATGTATGAGATTAATGTTGTTTTCATGCCTGCTACCACAGCATCAATAATGCAACCTATCGATCAAGGAATCATTTCAACTTTCAAGTCTTCTAATTAAGAAATATACATTTAGTAAGGATATTGCTGTCACAGATATTGATTCTTTTGATGGATCTGGGCAAAGTCATTTGAAAACTTTTTGGAAAAGATGTGGCTTTCTAGACACCATAAAGAACATTTGTGATTCATAGGAAGAGGTAAAAATATCAACATTAATAGAAGTTTAGAAGAAGAAGATTCCCATGCTCATAGAATCAATTGCCCTTTAAGGAATTTAAAACTTCAGTGGAGGAAGTAACTGAAGATGTGGTTAAAATAACAAAAGAACTACCGTGAGACATGGAACCAGATGTGATTGAATTGCTAAAAATTTCATGATAAAACTTCAGTGGATTAGGAGTTGCTTGCTCTGGATAAGTAAAGAAAGTAGTTTCCACTTTTGGTGAAGATGCTGTGAAGACTGTTGGGATGACAAAAAAGGATTTAGAATATTACATAAACTCAGTTGATGAAGCAGGGAAGGGTTTGCAGGGATTGACTCCAATTTTGAAAGAAGTTCTACTGTGGGTAAAATATTGTCAGACACATCACATGCTACAGAAAAATTTTTCATGAAAGGAAGACTCAATTAATGCAACAACCTTCACTGTTGTCTTAGTTTAAGAAATTGCCACGGTCACCTCAACCATTAGCAACCATGCCCCAATCAGTCATCAGCCAACAACATTAAGGCATGGTAGAGATGACCCTCTACCAGGAAAAAATTATGATTTGCCAAAAGCTCACATTATTGTTAGCACTTTTCAGCAATAATGTATTTTTAACTTAAAAAATTTCTTACTTGCTATTTACTATTTCCATAAATGTGGTCATCCATAAGCTGAGTACAGTGGTACACAGCTGTAATCCCAGCACTCAGGAGGCTAAGAAGGAGAATCACAAGTTCATGGCCAGCCTGGGCTATGTAGCAAGATGGTGTCTAAAAAAAAAAAGTGATCATTCATAATTCTGCCATGCATAAAGTCTAATCAACTACAAAAATATACCTTAAAAGAATAACAGATAGGTAAATCACATCCTCAGAGGTAACAAAAATAAAAGAATACAGGGTTGGTGGAGTGCCTATCTAGCA